GTGACAAGACATTGTTCAAACCCACTGCCTCTGCCTCGACTGGCTCAGGAGGGCCCTGCAATGAGCACAGGCAGAAAGCAAAATCCTGTAGGCTAAATTATGAAATCTTAATGTTTCATTGCTTCACTCTGACCATTTGCCGCAGCAACACATTCTAATGCATTGTCCTTCAGTGACACTCAGTGACAACAACTGCGGCAATGATGAGGGAGCAAAATGTCGTTGAACCATGTTGAACCCTTCCACTTTGCAACACAACTTGTGACTGCTTGGAAAGACCTTGTTCAAACACTGCACCTGCCTCGGCAATCACTTCAGAAAGTGGCAACACCTGCCGGAAGCCAAGCTCTAAGGATTTCAAGGTATGGCATTCAGAAATTCAATGTTTCAACATGTTTCAATGATTTTCAATGTATGTTTCGCTTGCACCAGGTGGCATGTTGAGGTTTCGGGTTCCTTTATGTTCAGCTGGAACTACTGGTTGATGATGGGCATGAGTTATGAGCAAAATACCATGGGGAAAGGTCCAAACTTGAGTCCTTGAGGGTTGATAAACAAAAAGCCAAGAAAAAAGATGTGGGAGCGGAGAAGGCATAGAAAGCCATGGGCGCTAGCAATGAGAAGGGAGATGTGAAGGGTAGCGTGGAGGAAGGTGGCAAGATGGTCAGAGCAAGGTGGAGTGGAGTGACTAAGTGGGAAGGAGTTGGGTGGATCGCTGGAAGAAATGAATCCACATCAAAGTGTGCATGACAAATTGCGGGTTTGGCACTTGGACTGCTCCACATCCCTTGCTAAAGCAAGAAAAAAACATGAAAAAAATCAAGCTTGCTACCACTAGCTTTCGTGACAAGACATTGTTCAAACATGCTCAAACCCACTGCCTCTGCCTCGACTGGCTCAGGAGGGCCCTGCAATGAGCACAGGCAGAAAGCAAAATCCTGTGTGCTAAATTATGAAATCTTAATGTTTCATTGCTTCACTCTGACCATTTGCCGCAGCAACACATTCTAATGCATTGTGATTCAGTGACACTCAGTGACAACAACTGCGGCAATGATGAGGGAGCAAAATGTCGTTGAACCATGTTGAACCATGTTGAACCCTTCCACTTCGCAACACAACTTTTGACTGCTTGGAAAGACCTTGTTCAAACACTGCACCTGCCTCGGCAATCACTTCAGAAAGTGGCAACACCTGCCGGAAGCCAAGCTCTAAGGATTTCAAGGTATGGCATTCAGAAATTCAATGTTTCAACATGTTTCAATGATTTTCAATGATTTTCAATGTATGTTTCACTTGCACCAGGTGGCATGTTAAGGTTTCGGGTTCCTTTATGTTCAGCTGAAACTGGTTGATGATGGGCATGAGTTATGAGCAAAATACCATGGGGAAAGGTCCAAACTTGAGTCCTTGAGGGTTGGTAAACGAAAGGCCAAGAAAAAAGATGTGGGAGCGGAGAAGGCATAGAAAGCCATGGGCGCTAGCAATGAGAAGGGAGATGCGAAGGGTAACGTGGAGGAAGGTGGCAAGATGGTCAGAGCGAGGTGGAGTGGAGTGACTAAGTGGGAAGGAGTTGGGTGGATCGCTGGAAGAAATGAATTGGACTGCTCCACATCCCTTGCTAAAGCAAGAAAAAAACATGAAACAAATCAAGCTTGCTACCACTAGCTTTCGTGACAAGACATTGTTCAAACCCACTGCCTCTGCCTCGACTGGCTCAGGAGGGCCCTGCAATGAGCACAGGCAGAAAGCAAAATCCTGTAGGCTAAGTTATGAAATCTTAATGTTTCATTGCTTCACTGTGACCATTTGCCGCATCAACACCTCCAGTGCATTGTGATTCAGTGACACTCAGTGACAACAACTGCGGCAATGATGAGGGAGCAAAATGCCGTTGAACCATGTTGAACCCTTCCACTTCGCAGCACAACTTTTGACTGCTTGGAAAGACCTTGTTCAAACACTGCACCTGCCTCGGCAATCACTTCAGAAAGTGGCAACACCTGCCGGAAGCCAAGCTCTAAGGATTCCAAGGTATGGCATTCAGAAATTCAATGTTTCAACATGTTTCAATGATCTTCAATGATTTTCAATGTATGTTTCACTTGCACCAGGTGGCATGTTAAGGTTTCGGGTTCCTTTATGTTCAGCTGGAACTACTGGTTGATGATGGGCATGAGTTATGAGCAAAATACCATGGGGAAAGGTCCAAACTTGAGTCCTTGAGGGTTGGTAAACAAAAGGCCAAGAAAAAGATGTGGGAGCGGAGAAGGCATAGAAAGCCATGGGCGCTAGCAATGAGAAGGGAGATGCGAAGGGTAGCGTGGAGGAAGGTGGCAAGATGGTAAGAGCAAGGTGGAGTGGAGTGACTAAGTGGGAAGGAGTTGGGTGGATCGCTGGAAGGAATGAATCCATATCAAAGTGTGCATGACAAATTGCGGGTTTGGCAATTGGACTGCTCCACATCCCTTGCTAAAGCAAGAAAATAACATGAAACAAATCAAGCTTGCTACCACTAGCTTTTGTGGCAAGACATTGTTCAAACCCACTGCCTCTGCCTCGACTGGCTCAGGAGGGCCCTGCAATGAGCACAGGCAGAAAGCAAAATCCTGTTTGCTAAATTATGATTTCATTGCTTCACTCTGACCATTTGCCGCAGCAACACATTCTAATGCATTGTGCTTCAGTGACACTCAGTGACAACTGCGGCAATGATGAGGGAGCAAAATGTCGTTGAACCATGTTGAACCCTTCCACTTCGCAACACAACTTTTGACTGCTTGGAAAGACCTTGTTCAAACACTGCACCTGCCTCGGCAATCACTTCAGAAAGTGGCAACACCTGCCGGAAGCCAAGCTCTAAGCATTCCAAGGTATGGCATTCAGAAATTCAATGTTCCAACATGTTTCAATGATTTTTAATGATTTTCAATGTATGTTTCACTTGCACCAGGTGGCATGTTAAGGTTTCGGGTTCCTTTATGTTCAGCTGGAACTACTGGTTGATGATGGGCATGAGTTATGAGCAAAATACCATGGGGAAAGGTCCAAACTTGAGTCCTTGAGGGTTGGTAAACGAAAGGCCAAGACAAAAGATGTGGGAGCGGAGAAGGCATAGAAAGTCATGGGCGCTATCAATGAGAAGGGAGATGCGAAGGGTAGCGTGGAGGAAGGTGGCAAGATGGTCAGAGCGAGGTGGAGTGGAGTGACTAAGTGGGAAGGAGTTGGGTGGATCGCTGGAAGAAATGAATCCATATCAAAGTGTGCATGACAAATTGCGGGTTTGGCAATTGGACTGCTCCACATCCCTTGCTAAAGCAACAAAAAAACATGAAAAAAATCAAGCTTGCTACCACTAGCTTTCGTGACAAGACATTGTTCAAACCCACTGCCTCTGCCTCGACTGGCTCAGGAGGGCCCTGCAATGAGCACAGGCAGAAAGCAAAATCCTGTGGGCTAAATTATGAAATCTTAATGTTTCATTGCTTCACTCTGACCATTTGCCGCAGCAACACATTCTAATGCATCGTGCTTCAGTGACACTCAGCGACAACAACTGCAGCAATGATGAGGGAGCAAAATGTCGTTGAACCATGTTGAACCATGTTGAACCCTTCCACTTCGCAACACAACTTTTGACTGCTTGGAAAGACCTTGTTCAAACACTGCACCTGCCTCGGCAATCACTTCAGAAAGTGGCAACACCTGCCGGAAGCCAAGCTCTAAGGATGTCAAGGTATGGCATTCAGAAATTCAATGTTTCAACATGTTTCAACATGTTTCAGTGATTTTCAATGATTTTCAATGTATGTTTCACTTGCACCAGGTGGCATGTTAAGGTTTCGGGTTCCTTTATGTTCAGCTGGAACTACTGGTTGATAACGGAAGGCCAAGAAAAAAGATGTGGGAGCGGAGAAGGCATAGAAAGCCATGGGCGCTAGCAATGAGAAGGGAGATGTGAAGGGTAGCGTGGAGGAAGGTGGCAAGATGGTCAGAGCAAGGTGGAGTGGAGTGACTAAGTGGGAAGGAGTTGGGTGGATCGCTGGATGAAATGAATCCATATCAAAGTGTGCATGACAAATTGCGGGTTTGGCACTTGGACTGCTCCACATCCCTTGCGAAAGCAAGGCAAAAAGATGAACTAGACGACGGATGGCCCGAGAGCGTAGAGGAGCAGGGTCTTCTCTTGTTAGTATGGAGACACCATATTACAAAACAATATATTAAAGATATGTTTTAGGCAGTCGAGAAGAGGAGTATCAAGACAATATAGCATAAGTACAAGACAATAGTTTGCATCGCAAACACTTTTACACACAGAAGCTTTTACACAGAGCAAGCTTTTACACAGAGAACCCCTTACACAGAGAAGCTTTTACAGGCAGGCGCTTTTACACAGAGACACTTTTACACAGAGACGCTTTTACACACAAGGCACTTTTACACACAGACACTTTTACACACAGACACTTTTACACACAGGCGCTTTTACATACAGACAGTTTTACACAGACGCTTTTACACAGACGCTTTTACACACAAAGCTTTTACCCACAGAAGCTTTTACAGACAGAAGCTTTTACACACAGACGCTTTTACACACAGACACTTTTACACACAGACACTTTTACACACAGACGCTTTTACACACAGACACTTTTAACAAAGACCCTTTTACACACAGGAGTTTTTACGCACAGAAGTGTTTACACGCAGACGCTTTTACACACAAAAGCTTTTACACACAGAAGCTTTTACACATAGACGCTTTTACACACAGACACTTTTACACACAAACACTTTTATACACAAATACTTTTACACACAGACGCTTTTACACACAGAAGCTTTTACACGCAGACGCTTGTACACACAGAAGCTTTTACACACAAACGCTTTTACACACAGACGGTTTTACACACAAACACTTTTACACAGAGCACACAGAAGCTTTTAAGCAGACGCTTTTACACAGAGGCTTTTACACAGATGCTTTTACACACAAAAGCTTTGACACACAGCACACAGAAGCTTTAATTGTACACACAGAAGAAATCGCAATTTTACCTTAGTTTTTGGCGATCGACCCTCATTTTGTGCGAAAGAGTTGCGCGGGACAAGTTGAAATCGCAATTTTACCTCAGTTTTTGGCGATCGAACCTCATTTCGTGCGAAAGGGTTGCGCCGGACACCTTGAAATCGCAATTTTACTTCAGTTTTTGGCGATCGAACCTCGTTTCGTGCGAAAGGGTTGCGTTTCGTGCCGTCTCGTTGGCACTGCCCCTGCCCCCGCCTTCAGAAGAGAAATAGAAAAGAAGGAGAAGGCAAGAGGGCGAGAGGGCGAGAGGGCAAGAGGGCAAGAGGAGAAGATGTGAAGATGTGAGGATGTGAAGATGTGAAGATGTGAGGATGAGAAGATGTGAAGATGAGCAGATGTGAAGATATGAAGATGTGAAGATGAGCAGAAGATGTGAAGATGTGAAGATGAGCAGATGTGAAGATGTGAAGATGAGAGGATGTGAAGATGAGAAGATGTGAAGATGAGAGGATGTGAAGATGAGAAGATGTGAAGATGTGAAGTGAGAAGATGTGAAGATGAGAAGGTGTGAAGATGAGAAGATGTGAAGATGAGAAGATGTGAAGAAGATGTGAAGAAGATGTGAAGATGTGAAGTGAGAAGATGCGAAGATGAGAAGATGTGAAGATGAGAAGATGTGAAGATGAGAAGATGTGAAGATACGAAGATGTGAAGATGAGAAGATGTGAAGATGAGAAGGTGTGAAGATGAAGATGTGAAGATGAGAGGATGTGAAGATGAGAAGATGTGAAGATGAGAAGATGAGATACAGACCTCCACTATTGGAAGAACCCTGCGCTCAGACGCTTTCGGGAAAAAAATCAAGCTCGCTATCACTAGCTTTTGTGACAAGACATTGTTCAAACCCACTGCCTCTGCCTCGACTGGCTCAGGAGGGCCCTGCAATGAGCACAGACAGAAAGCAAAATCCTGTGTGCTAAATTATGAAACCTTAATGTTTCATTGCTCCACTCTGACCATTTCCCGCATCAACACCTCCAGTGCATTGTGATTCAGTGACACTCAGTGACAACAACTGCGGCAATGATGAGGGAGCAAAATGCCGTTGAACCAAGTTGAACCCTTCCACTTCGTAACACAACTTTTGACTGCTTGGAAAGACCTTGTTCAAACACTGCACCTGCCTCGGCAACTTCAGCCCCAGGTGACGCTTCAAATTCCGCCACCTGCAGGAAGAAAGAAAGTGCTTGAAGGATCCGAGGGTATTGCAATGCCAAAACTTGACATTTCGCGATGACCATGCACTGCATCAACGCCTACCAGGCCTAGCACCTTTTTCGGGTAGTTGGATTTTCTTTGTTTTGATGAGGATGAAACTCCCGCCATATGGATCCATATGGTACTGGTACTAGGCCACTTTGAGACCCAATCATGACTGATCCCAACAAGATCTTTCTCAAATCCACTCTCTCCCCGCCTCCGCCTTGATTACCGCAGGCTTCTTTGCTGAAGCTTGCAACGCATCGAAGCGGGCAATGGCCGCCAGCATCCCCGATCCCGGCGTGTCCTCCTTCGGTTGATCTTTCATCTTCCTGCCCTCCGCCTCCAGTTCGGCCAGGTGTCGCTGCTGCAGCGCCTGGCTTTTGCCATCAACCATCCTCCATCCCAGGAGCCGCGGGTCATCCCGCGAGCGCGCGGTGACGGGGAATCTCATGCCGTACACCGACGCCGCCGTGGCTGAATCCATGGCCACAGCGAAAGCGGAAGGAGCGATGTCAACAATCAGCAGCTGAGCCAAGGTGCCTCCAGGCGACAAATGAGGACAATGATGGACAATGTGATGAATCTGAGCCCATAGCCGCTATAGCCCATAGCCACAACCAAGCTATCATGTCGTAAGGATTCGTAAGGTATCTGCAGGATCATAAGAAATCAGAGAATTCGTGTCAACTTGGAAGCTTGCAGCTCAGAACAGGCTCTGCCAAGAATTGGTTGGGGCCAAGTCAGGTGACAACAACATGCTGAAGTATCATGAAAATTCATGAAATATGTTGAATACTTGATATCGATGAGAGCAACTCAACGACAATCTTCGGAGCTAGATGACCCAATCCACCCTTGGCCCGAACCTCGCATGTCTTAAACATTCTGACTGGGCGAGTCACACTTCATCCAAAACCATCCAAAACTGATATCACAGGTATCTCTTGGATTTTTTCGTCAAATTCCGGGAAAGCCCCCAAAAACGGTAGGCTTTCCAGGCCGGCCCTCTGCTGCGATTTTTCAGTTCAAAACGTTCCATGACTTGCAGAAGCTGTGGCAAGCCATCAAATCAATCGAGGCTGCAGCCAGTTAGCCGCAGCGTGCATTTGGGGTGCAGCGTGTGAAATACCTATGGTTCTTTTTACACAATTATACACAGCTAGCAATTACATTCCACTTGAAAAATACAAACATCTGCAAGATTCCCAGACATGATATTGTCTCATTGATGCGGGTGAAACTAAATTGCTAGGCGGCGATCACTTTTGGCGCCTGGGGAACGTTGGCTTTGACTATGGACAACTAGCAGGTCACACCACCTTCCCTTGCTGCCACAAGATCCATGGTCCCGACAGAATTAGGTGATGATTAGTGCTTAATGCAGCTGATCACATTCCCCACCCTTTTAAAAATGTCTAGCTGTCCAGCCCTCAACTGCAGGTCACACCAGCAGCCCAACACCTTCCCGGCTGCTGCCTGCCGCAGCAGCCGATCGCGGAGAGAAAGGCCTTGGATCTTTGGGGCTTTTGTTATGAAGCAAGTTTCCAAACATTATCCGACCGGGTCCCAGCCTATTCTCAAGTGACGCCGAAAAGCCCTTTTGACGGAACTAAAATTTAGTTGTTAAATCCTCGCATCCATCGGCAATTTCCGATTGGCACTGTACGCAGTGTCAAGCAAATTGATGTTTCCCAGATCCACAGTTGAAGGACTAGCCGACTAGCCCACCACCAGCTGACCTGGCCCATCCTGACCCTGCCCCTGTCCTGCACAAATTGCGTGATGTCATCCTGAAAGTTCATGGAGATGTTTGGGAAATCTGTGGGTGTCATCACCACCAACCACTTCAGGTTTGACAATTTTGCACTGGTGGTGAAGACTGGGTCACTAGGTGCATTAAACCACAACGATGTCTCATCCGATTGCAGGGGTGAGAAATAATCTTTGTGTCTGCCACGAGTCCAATTTCTTGTGGAACCACTTTACAAAACAAACAGTTGAAAGATGTTGAAAGGCTGTCTCCTCTTTTTTTTGAAATCATGAACAGGGTCCACCACCTCAAATCGCCATGCGCAACATCCAAGACCCCCTTTTCAAATCTGGCAAGCCTGCGGGGGCTGTTCCTCCTCCCCGTGAGTCTCCGAGGGCTGTTGAAACAGCGATTCTGCCTGCAATGAGCACAGGCAGAAAGCAAAATCCTGAAGATTGTCACACCCTGGGATGAATTATGAAAATATTGATGATCTGGGATGTTTTCTTGCTTCGCTCTGACCATTTGCCGCAGCAACACATTCTAATGCATTGTGCTTCAGTGCCACTCAGTGACAACAACTGCGGCAATGATGAGGGAGCAAAATGTCGTTGAACCATGTTGAACCCTTCCACTTCGCAACGCAACTTTTGACTGCTTGGAAAGACTTGTTCAAACACTGCACCTGCCTCGGCAATCACTTCAGACAGCGGCGCGGCTTCAAATTCCACCGCCTGCAGAAAGCAAAGCTCAAGGGATTCAAAGGTATCGCATGCAGAATCTCAATGTTTCAATACATGTTTCACTTGCACCAGGTGGCATGTTAAGGTTTCGGGTTCCTTTATGTTCAGCTGGAACTACTGGCTGATGATGGGCATGAGTTATGAGCAAAATACCATGGGGAAAGGTCCAAACTTGAGTCCTTGAGGGTTGGTAAACAAAAGGCCAAGAAAAAAGATGTGGGAGCGGAGAAGGCATAGAAAGCCATGGGCGCTAGCAATGAGAAGGGAGATGCGAAGGGTAGCGTGGAGGAAGGTGGCAAGATGGTAAGAGCAAGGTGGAGTGGAGTGACTAAGTGGGAAGGAGTTGGGTGGATCGCTGGAAGAAATGAATCCATATCAAAGTGTGCATGACAAATTGCCGGTTTGGCAATTGGACTGCTCCACATCCCTTGCTAAAGCAAGAAAAAAACATGAAAAAAATCAAGCTTGCTACCACTAGCTTTCGTGACAAGACATTGTTCAAACATGCTCAAACCCACTGCCTCTGCCTCGACTGGCTCAGGAGGGCCCTGCAATGAGCACAGGCAGAAAGCAAAATCCTGTGGGCTAAATTATGAACTCTGAATGTTTCATTGCTTCACTCTGACCATTTGCCGAAGCAACACATTCTAATGCATTGTGATTCAGTGACACTCATTGACAACAACTGCGGCAATGATGAGGGAGCAAAATGTCGTTGAACCATGTTGAACCCTTCCACTTCGCAACACAACTTACTGCTTGGAAAGACCTTGTTCAAACACTGCACCTGCCTCGGCAATCACTTCAGAAAGTGGCAACACCTGCCGGAAGCCAAGCTCTAAGGATTTCAAGGTATGGCATTCAGAAATTCAATGTTTCAACATGTTTCAACATGTTTCAATGATTTTCAATGACTTTCAATGATTTTCAATGTATGTTTCACTTGCACCAGGTGGCATGTTAAGGTTTCGGGTTCCTTTATGTTCAGCTGGAACTACTGGTTGATGATGGGCATGAGTTATGAGCAAAATACCATGGGGAAAGGTCCAAACTTGAGTCCTTGAGGGTTGGTAAACGAAAGGCCAAGACAAAAGATGTGGGAGCGGAGAAGGCATAGAAAGCCATGGGCGCTAGCAATGAGAAGGGAGATGCGAAGGGTAGCGTGGAGGAAGGTGGCAAGATGGTAAGAGCAAGGTGGAGTGGAGTGACTAAGTGGGAAGGAGTTGGGTGGATCGCTGGAAGAAATGAATCCATATCAAAGTGTGCATGACAAATTGCCGGTTTGGCAATTGGACTGCTCCACATCCCTTGCTAAAGCAAAAAAACATGAAAACAAGATGCAGCCCACGAACCCGAATGCTCACACGTATGTTAATGGTACAGGTGTGGAAACACATGGGCATGCAGTCACGCAGAACACTTTTCTGCAATAGTTTATTGGAACAGGCTTGTACATATTTCCCCTATTACCAGTCTGCGGTGTGGAGTGGGAAGTGTAGAGTGTGGAGTGTAGAGTGTAAAGTAAGGAGTGTGGAGTATAAAGTGTGGAGTGGGGAGTGTGGAGCATGTAAAGTGTAGAGTCTAGAGTGTGGAGTGTAGAGTGTAAAGTGTGGAGTGTGGAGTGTGGAGTTTAAAGTGTAGAGTGTGGAGTGTGGAGTGCGGAGTGTAGAGTGTGGAGTGTGGCGTGTAGAGTGTAAAGTGTGGAGTGAGGAGTGTAAAGTGTGGAGTGTGGAGTGTGGAGTGTGCAGTGTAGAGTGTGGAGTGTGGAGTGTGGAGTGGAAAGTGTAGAGTGTGGAGTGTGGAGTGTAAAGTGTAAAGTGAGGAGTGTGAAGTGTAAAGTGTGGAGTGAGGAGTGTGGAGTGTAGAGTGTAAAGTGTAGAGTGTGGAGTGTAAAGTCTCAGGTAAGGTGTGAGGAGTGTAAAGTGCAAAGTGTAAAGTGTGGAGTGTAAAGTGTACAGTGTGGAGTCTAAAGTGTAAATTGTGGAGTGCGGAGTGTCAAGTGTAGAGTGTGGAGTGCAGAGCTTCCCCCATAGACACGGCGACGCCACAGGAAAACGAGAGACTCGAGACGAGACACGTGGGAGCACCAAAACGAGCATTTCCTACGAGATTTCCTCTAATTTTGAAATTTTGTGAACATCATCAAACAGGTTGGAATGTCAGAAAGTACCACGTCTGCCACGCAAAACAACATGACAACCTGCTTGGAAACATTCGAAAAGGACAGGTTTTCCAGCTTCCCCCATAGACACGGCGACGCCACAGGAAAACCAGCGACTCGAGACGAAGACACGTGGGAGCACCAAAACGAGCATTTCCTACGAGATTTCCTCCAATTTTGAAATTTTGTGAACATCATCAAACAGGTTGGAATGTCAGAAAGTACCACGCTGCCACGCAAAACAACATGACAACCTGCTTGGAAACATTCGAAAAGGACAGGTTTTCCAGCTTCCCCCATAGACACGGCGACGCCACAGGAAAACCAGCGACTCGAGACAAGACACGTGGATGCAGAAAAACCAGCATTTCGTACGAGATTTCCTCCAATTTTCACACTTTGTAGCTTCAAAATCGACGTTTTCCTAGGAGTTTTCCTTAGAACCTGAAAATTTGCAACCTCAAAATCCATGTTTCGTGCGAGGCTTCCGTCAATTTTCAGCACATCGTACAAAATGCCACGACTGCCACGGAATTTGCACCTTGTCGCCACTGACGCACCCCTCCAATGCGATTTGCAAAAAACACGCAACACGACACGTCTAAAGTGCTGCGCCTGCCACGAAAAATGACGATGGACACGTCCAAAGTGCTGCGCCTGCCACGAAAACTGCAACACATCTTCTGAAAACGTCGCAAAAGTATTGCGCCTGCCAGGCAAAACGACTTTCGACACGTTCCAGAACACGTCTGAATGTCACGAAGTGCCACGCCTGCCACGCGAAACGAAGCAACGACACGTCTGAAACCTCCAAAAAGGACCACCTCTGCAAAACTTCCAATAGGCACGGCCATACGGGGATCGCGCGGACGGTTGCGAACGGTTGCGAACGGTTGCGGACGGTTGCGGACGGTTGCGAACGGTTGCGACCACAAACGCAACGTCGAGCGAACACACCCTCAACCCCCAGACCCCCAGAGTGAAACGGGAACCCTTGCTACGCATTCGGGAAAAATCAGGCTTGCTACCACTAGCTTTCGTGACAAGACATTGTTCAAACCCACTGCCTCTGCCTCGACTGGCTCAGGAGGGCCCTGCAATGAGCACAGGCAAAAAGCAAAATCCTGTGGGCTAAATTATGAAATCTTAATGTTTCATTGCTTCACTCTGACCATTTGCCGCAGCAACACATTCTAATGCATTGTGATTCAGTGACACTCATTGACAACAACTGCGGCAATGATGAGGGAGCAAAATGTCGTTGAACCATGTTGAACCATGTTGAACCCTTCCACTTCGCAACACAACTTTTGACTGCTTGGAAAGACCTTGTTCAAACACTGCCTGCCTCGGCAATCACTTCAGAAAGTGGCAACACCTGCCGGAAGCCAAGCTCTAAGGATTCCAAGGTATGGCATTCAGAAATTCAATGTTTCAACATATTTCAATGATTTTCAATGTATGTTTCACTTGCACCAGGTGGCATGTTAAGGTTTCGGGTTCCTTTATGTTCAGCTGGAACTACTGGTTGATGATGGGCATGAGTTATGAGCAAAATACCATGGGGAAAGGTCCAAACTTGAGTCCTTGAGGGTTGGTAAACGAAAGGCCAAGACAAAAGATGTGGGAGCGGAGAAGGCATAGAAAGCCATGGGCGCTAGCAATGAGAAGGGAGATGCGAAGGGTAGCGTGGAGGAAGGTGGCAAGATGGTAAGAGCAAGGTGGAGTGGAGTGACTAAGTGGGAAGGAGTTGGGTGGATCGCTGGATGAAATGAATCCATATCAAAGTGTGCATGACAAATTGCGAGTTTGGCAATTGGACTGCTCCACATCCCTTGCTAAAGCAAGAAAAAAACATGAAAAAAATCAAGCTTGCTACCACTAGCTTTCGTGACAAGACATTGTTCAAACCCACTGCCTCTGCCTCGACTGGCTCAGGAGGGCCCTGCAATGAGCACAGGCAGAAAGTAAAATCCTGTGGGCTAAATTATGAAATCTTAATGTTTCATTGCTTCACTGTGACCATTTGCCGCAGCAACACCTCCAGTGCATTGTGCTTCAGTGACACTCAGTGACAACAACTGCGGCAATGATCAGGGAGTAAAATGTCGTTGAACCATGTTGAACCATGTTGAACCCTTCCACTTCGCAACACAACTTTTGACTGCTTGGAAAGACCTTGTTCCAAACACTGCACCTGCCTCGGCAATCACTTCAGAAAGTGGCAACACCTGCCGGAAGCCAAGCTCTAAGGATTCCAAGGTATGGCATTCAGAAATTCAATGTTTCAACATATTTCAATGATTTTCAATGTATGTTTCACTTGCACCAGGTGGCATGTTAAGGTTTCGGGTTCCTTTATGTTCAGCTGGAACTACTGGTTGATGATGGGCATGAGTTATGAGCAAAATACCATGGGGAAAGGTCCAAACTTGAGCCCTTGAGGGTTGGTAAACAAAAGGCCAAGAAAAAAGATGTGGGAGCGGAGAAGGCATAGAAAGCCATGGGCGCTAGCAATGAGAAGGGAGATGCGAAGGGTAGCGTGGAGGAAGGTGGCAAGATGGTCAGAGCAAGGTGGAGTGGAGTGACTAAGCGGGAAGGAGTTGGGTGGATCACTGGAAGAAATGAATCCATATCAAAGTGTGCATGACAAATTGCGGGTTTGGCACTTGGACTGCTCCACATCCCTTGCGAAAGCAAGGCAGAAAGATCAAAAAATCAAGCTCGCTATCACTAGCTTTTGTGACAAGACATTGTTCAAACCCACTGCCTCTGCCTCGACTGGCTCAGGAGGGCCCTGCAATGAGCACAGGCAGAAAGCAAAATCCTGTGTGCTAAATTATGAAATCTTAATCTTAATGTTTCATTGCTTCACTCTGACCATTTCCCGCATCAACACCTCCAATGCATTGTGCTTCAGTGACACTCAGTGACAAAAACTCTGGCAATGATGAGGGAGTAAAATGTCGTTGAACCATGTTGAACCATGTTGAACCTTCCACTTCGCAACACAACTTTTGACTGCTTGGAAAGACCTTGTTCAAACACTGCACCTGCCTCGGCAACTTCAGCCCCAGGTGACGCTTCAAATTCCGCCACCTGCAGAAAGAAAGAAAGTGCTTGAAGGATCCGAAGGTATTGCAATGCCAAAACTTGACATTTCGCGATGACCATGCACTGCATCAACGCCTACCAGGCCTACCACCTTTTTCGGGTAGTTTTTTTCAAATTTGTTTTGATGAGGATGAAACTGCCATATGGTACTGGATGTACTGGTACTAGGCCACTTTGAGACCCAATCATGACTGATCCCAACAAGATCTTTCTCAAATCCACTCTCTCCCCGCCTCCGCCTTGATCACAGGTTTCTTTGCTGCTTGCAACGCATCAAAGTGCGCAATGGCCGCCAGCATCCCCGATCCCGGCGTGTCCTCCTTCGGTTGATCCTTCATCTTCCTGCCCTCCGCCTCCAGTTCGGCCAGGTGTCGCTGCTGCAGCGCCTGGCTTTTGCCATCAACCATCCTCCATCCCAGGAGCCGCGGGTCATCCCGCGAGCGTGCGGTGACGGGGAATCTCATGCCGTACACCGACGCCGCCGTGGCTGAATCCATGGCAGCGATTCAGCTGGAGCGATGTCAACAATCAGCTGAGCCAAGGTGTCTCCAGGCGACTGAGGACAATGATGGACAATGTGATGAATCTGAGCCCATAGCCGCTATAGCCCATAGCCAAAAACCAAGCTATCATGTCGTAAGGATTCGTAAGGTATCTGCAGGATCATAAGAAATCAGAGAAAGTGTCAACTTGGAAGCTTGCAGCTCAGAACAGGCTCTGCCAAGAATTGGTTGGGGCCAAGTCAGGTGACAACAACATGCTGAAGTATCATGAAAATTCATGAAATATGTTGAATACTTGATATCGATGAGAGCGACTCAACGGCAATCTTCGGAGCTAAATGACCCAATCCACCCTTGGCCCGAACATGCCCGAACCTCGCATGTCTTGAACATTCTGACTGGGCGAGTCACACTTCATCCAAAACCATCCAAAACTGATATCACAGGTATCTCTTGGAATTTTTACGTCAAATTCCGGGAAAGCCCCCAAAAACGGTAGGCTTTCCAGGCCGGCCCTCTGCTGCGATTTTTCAGTTCAAAACGTTCCATGACTTGCAGAAGCTGTGGCAAGCCATCAAATCAATCGAGGCTGCAGCCAGTTAGCCGCAGCGTGCATTTGGGGTGCAGCGTGTGAAATACCTATGGTTCTTTTTACACAATTATACACAGCTAGCAATTACATTCCACTTGAAAAATACAAACATCTGCAAGATTCCCAGACATGATATTGTCTCATTGATGCGGGTGAAACTAAATTGCTAGGCGGCGATCACTTTTGGCGCCTGGGGAACGTTGGCTTTGACTATGGACAACTAGCAGGTCACACCACCTTCCCTTGCTGCCACAAGATCCATGGTCCCGACAGAATTAGGTGATGATTAGTGCTTAATGCAGCTGATCACATTCCCCACCCTTTTAAAAATGTCTAGCTGTCCAGCCCTCAACTGCAGGTCACACCAGCAGCCCAACACCTTCCCGGCTGCCTGCCGCAGCAGCCGATCGCGGAGAGAAAGGCCTTGGATCTTTGGGGCTTTTGTTATGAAGCAAGTTTCCAAACATTATCCGACCGGGTCCCAGCCTATTCTCAAGTGACGCCGAAAAGCCCTTTTGACGGAACTAAAATTTAGTTGCTAAATCATGCTAAATCCTCACATCCATCGGCAATTTCCGATTGGCACTGCACGCAGTGTCAAGCGAATTGATGTTTCCCAGATCCACAGTTGAAGGACTAGCCGGCTAGCCCACCACCAGCTGACCTGGCCCATCCTGACCCTGCCCCCGTCCTGCACAAATTGCGCGATGTCATCCTGAAAGTTCATGAGATGTTTGGGAAATCTGTGGGTGTCATCACCACCAACCACTTCAGGTTTGACAATTTTGCACTGGTGAAGACTGGGTCACTAGGTGCATTATGACAACGATGTCTCATCCGATGGGGTGAGAAATAATCTAAAAGTGTCTGCCCTGAGTCCAATTTCTTGTGGAAAGATGTTGAAAGGCTGTCTCCTCTCTTTTTTTTTGAAATCATGAACAGGGTCCAGGGTGGTGGGACCCTCAAATCGCCATGCGCAACATCCAAGACCCCCTTTTCAAATCTGGCAAGCCTGCGGGGGCTGTTCCTCCTCCCCGTGAGTCTCCGAGGGCTGTTGAAACAGCGATTCTGCCTGCAATGAGCACAGGCAGAAAGCAAAATCCTGAAGATTGTCACACCCTGGGATGAATTATGAAAAAATTATGAAATCTTAATGTTTCATTGCTTCACTCTGACCATTTGCCGCAGCAACACATTCTAATGCATTGTGCTTCAGTGACACTCAGTGACAACAACTGCGGCAATGATGAGGGAGCAAAATGTCGTTGAACCATGTTGAACCCTGAACCCTTCCACTTCGCAACGCAACTTTTGACTGCTTGGAAAGACTTGTTCAAACACTGCACCTGCCTCGGCAATCACTTCAGACAGCGGTGCGGCTTCAAATTCCACCACCTGCAGAAAGCAAAGCTCAAGGGATTCAAAGGTATTGCATGCAGAATCTCAATGTTTCAATATATGTTTCACTTGCACCAGGTGGCATATTGCGGCTTCCGGTTCCTTTATGTTCAGCTGGAACTACTGGTTGATGATGGGCATGGGTTATGAGCAAAATACCATGGGGAAAGGTCCAAACTTGAGTCCTTGAGGGTTGGTAAACAAAAAGCCAAGAAAAAAGATGTGGGAGCGGAGAAGGCATAGAAAGCCATGGGCGCTAGCAATGAGAAGGGAGATGCGAGGGGTAGCGTGGAGGAAGGTGGCAAGATGGTCAGAGCAAGTTGGAGTGGAGTGACTAAGTGGGAAGGAGTTGGGTGGATCGCTGGAAGAAATGAATCCATATCAAAGTGTGCATGACAAATTGCGGGTTTGGCAATTGGACTGCTCCACATCCCTTGCTAAAGCAAGAAAAAAACATGAAAAAAATCAAGCTCGCTATCACTAGCTTTTGTGACAAGACATTGTTCAAACCCACTGCCTCTGCCTCGACTGGCTCAGGAGGGCCCTGCAATGAGCACAGGCAGAAAGCAAAATCCTGTCAGGAGGGCCCTGCAATGAGCACAGGCAGAAAGCAAAATCCTGTGTGCTAAATTATGAAATCTTAATGTTTCATTGCTTCACTCTGACCATTTGCCGCAGCAACACATTCTAATGCATTATGATTCAGTGACACTCATTGACAACAACTGCAGCAATGATGAGGGAGCAAAATGTCGTTGAACCATGTTGAACCATGTTGAACCCTTCCACTTCGCAACACAACTTTTGACTGCTTGGAAAGACCTTGTTCAAACACTGCACCTGCCTCGGCAATCACTTCAGAAAGTGGCAACACCTGCCGGAAGCCAAGCTCTAAGGATTTCAAGGTATGGCATTCAGAAGTTCAATGTTTCAACATGTTTCAATGATTTTCAATGTATGTTTCGCTTGCACCAGGTGGCATGTTGAGGTTTCGGGTTCCTTTATGTTCAGCTGGAACTACTGGTTGATGATGGGCATGAGATATGAGCAAAATACCATGGGGAAAGGTCCAAACTTGAGTCCTTGAGGGTTGGTAAACAAAAAGCCAAGAAAAAAGATGTGGGAGCGGAGAAGGCATAGAAAGCCATGGGCGCTAGCAATGAGAAGGGAGATGCGAAGGGTAGCGTGGAGGACGGTGGCAAGATGGTCAGAGCAAGGTGGAGTGGAGTGACTAAGTGGGAAGGAGTTGGGTGGATCGCTGGAAGAAATAAATCCATATCAAAGTGTGAATGACAAATTGCCGGTTTGGCAATTGGACTGCTCCACATCCCTTGCTAAAGCAAGAAAAAAATGAAAAAATCAAGCTTGCTACCACTAGCTTTCGTGACAAGACATTGTTCAAACCCACTGCCTCTGCCTCGACTGGCTCAGGAGGGCCCTGCAATGAGCACAGGCAGAAAGCAAAATCCTGAAGATTGTCACACCCTGGGATGAATTATGAAAAAATTATGAAATCTTAATGTTTCATTGCTTCACTCTGACCATTTGCCGCAGCAACACATTCTAATGCATTGTGCTTCAGTGCCACTCAGTGACAACAACTGCGGCAATGATGAGGGAGCAAAATGTCGTTGAACCATGTTGAACCCTTCCACTTCGCAACGCAACTTTTGACTGCTTGGAAAGACCTTGTTCAAACACTGCACCTGCCTCGGCAATCACTTCAGAAAGTGGCAACACCTGCCGGAAGCCAAGCTCTAAGGATTCCAAGGTATGGCATTCAGAAATTCAATGTTTCAACATGTTTCAATGATTTTTAATGATTTTCAATGTATGTTTCACTTGCGCCAGGTGGCATGTTAAGGTTTCGGGTTCCTTTATGTTCAGATGGAACTACTGGTTGATGATGGGCATGAGTTATGAGCAAAATACCATGGGGAAAGGTCCAAACTTGAGTCCTTGAGGGTTGGTAAACGAAAGGCCAAGAAAAAAGATGTGGGAGCGGAGAAGGCATAGAAAGCCATGGGCGCTAGCAATGAGAAGGGAGATGCGAAGGGTAGCGTGGAGGAAGGTGGCAAGATTCAGAGCAAGGTGGAGTGGAGTGACTAAGTGGGAAGGAGTTGGGCGGATCGCTGGATGAAATGAATCCATATCAAAGTGTGCAGGACAAATTGCGAGTTTGGCAATTGGACTGCTCCACATCCCTTGCTAAAGCAAGAAAACAAGATGAAGCCCACGAACCCGAATGCTCACACGTATGTTAATGGTACAGATGTCAAAACACATGGTTATGCAGTCACGCACAATACCTTTCTGTAATAGTTTATTTGAACAGTCTTGTACATGTTTCCCTTGTTACCAGTCTGCAGTGTGGAGTGGAAAGTGTAGAGTGTGGAGTGCGGAGTGTGAAGTAAGGAGTGTGGAGTGTAAAGTGTGGAGTGGGGAGTGTAGAGTGTGTACAGTGTAGAATGCGGAGTGTAAAGTGTAGAGTGTGGAGTATGGAGTGTAAAGTGTAGAGTATGGAGTGTGGAGTGTAAAGTGTGGAGTGTAAAGTGTGGAGTGAGGAGAGTAAAGTGGAAAGGGTGGAGTGTAAAGTGTAAAGTGTGGAGTGTAGAGTGTATAGTGTAGAGTGTAAAGTGTAGAGTGTGGAGTATGGGGTGTAAAGTGTGGAGTGTAAAGTGTAGAGTGTGGAGAGTAAAGTGTGGAGTGTAAAGTGTGGAGTGAGGAGTGTAAAGTGTGGAGTGCGGAGTGTAAAGTGTAGAGTGTGGAGTATGGAGTGTAAAGTGTGGAGTGTGAAGTGTGGAGTGTAAAGTGAGGAGTGTAAAGTGTGGAGTGAGGAGTGTAAAGTGTGGAGTGTGGAGTGTAAACTGTGGAGTGTGGAGTGAGGAGTGTAAAGTGTGGAGTGTGGAGTGTAAAGTGTGAGTGTAAAGTGTGCAGTGTGGAGCGTAAAGTGTAGAGTGTGGAGTCTGGAGTGGAAAGTGTAGAGTGTGGTGTGTAGAGTGTG